TAATAATAATAATAATATAGAATATTTAGATATTATAAATTTAATTTCTGTTGTTTTCGTTTTTTAAGATTTAAACCCTTCGTGTGTTGAAGTGAATTTAAATACCAACAATATTGCAGCTAAATTAATTTCTTAAAAGTTTCCACATGAACAAAAACATTTAAAAAGCTTAAAACTACTGAAGAAAGTCCAACAACTTATGTTATGTTTAATATTTTGAATCTGCATTCGCTAATTTTAAACTAAATTCAAGTTGAGGCGACAAAATAAAAGCATGAATTAAACATGAAAAATGAATTTTTATTAAGTCACAGTTGATCATAAGGGAGTCAGTCTTAGCTTTTCTGATGCACCAAGGACGAGAGAATTTTTTGATTTTATAGAATTTGTTGATTGCATATATATTTATTTTTGGGGATTTTCTGAATCAGACATGTGCAAAATGTTGAAGCTGAGATTTGTCTGTTTCTGACTGAACCGTCACGATAAATGGTTTAATTTAAGAATCAGAATATTTTGACACCAGCTGTAGTTTTAGGGTTCAGCAGGTAAATATATAAAAGTGGATTGTTGGAGTTTAGAGAGACGTCCTGGATGCTTCCCTCCCTGTCTCCTCCTCCTGCTCTCAGTGACCTCCAGCCTCCGTCTCAGCGATCAATAACTCTGACAGGTTCTGAAGCAGCAGCCGATCGCTCTGATGTATCGACGCGCCGCTCTTACGTTGAAGGCCTTTAATCTCTCGGGGTCGACGCCCTCGGTGTCGTTGATCTTGTCGTTGTCGTCGTGGTCGTCGTGATCGTCGTCGTCGTCGTCGGGGGCGACCTGGCTGCCGTGGCGACCCATGGTCAGGTCCTCGGCGCTCAGGTCCATCTTCACGCTGTCGTAGCTGCCGCCGGAGCTGAACTGTGGAGACTGAACACAACCACACGGAGGAGGTGAAGTAAATGAAAGAACTCATGAACTGTTCTTATTTTACAGATTTTCTCTGTTTTGTTACTGAAAAGAAAAATCTGTGTATTAAAAAAAATAACAATTCACTGTTATTTTACTGATTTCCCTTATTTTTGTTATTTAAAAGAAAACCTACGTATGTTAAAAACCTGAAAAACTATTTTAACTGTTATTTTACAGATTTTCTCTGTTTTGTCATTTAAAAGGAAAACTACCGATATTAAAAAATAGATTAAAAAAAAACATATATTATTTTACAGAATTTACCTGTTTTTTCTGTAAAAAAAAGTATATATATATTCATTTTTACTGATTTTCCCTGTTTTGTTATTTTAAAGAAAAAAAAATATTTTAAAAATATGAAAACAATTAAAACAGTAATTTCACGAATGTTCTTTGTTTTGTATTAAATAGAAAAAAAATACGTATATTAAATTAGATTTTTTTTAAACTGTTATTTTATTTTT